TTCGTTAATCGCTTTGTTAATGTGAATATATTGGAAAATCATCAGATCGATGATTGGTGTGTTGTAATAAATATGGCTCGTTTGCCTAGTGGAAATCGTTTTTGCTTACTGAGCAGAAGACCTTGGGTTCAATCCCGAGCTCCTTTGCGTCATAGGATCGTTAGGATATCAATTCAGCTTATCGTTTACCAAAACGAAACCTGCTGCAAACCCAACCCTTTTACCCAACATCCCAGTGATTCCTCGTGGAAGTTCAGAAGCTTTCTCGACTTTCAACATAGCGGGTATAACACCAACACATTCCTACCCTTTCCTTTCTTGAACTGCGTTCGGGTGCGGCTGGCGCTGGTATTGCCTAGTTTGAGATCACCAGTTTTGACGTAGGACTACGTCAGTGATTTCTATATGGGGGTACACTTTGTGAAAACCAAAAATGGAACATGTAAGAAAATTTTGAAAGATTTTGAACGTTAATAACTCAGCTGACCCTGGACCAATTTCAATAATTTTAAAACCAACCGATCAGAAATATTTCCAAGCATCCGTTAAATTTAAAACTTTATCATTTTTCAATACTTCACTATTGAAAATTGCATGAAAGTGCAATTGTTGCTATGATAATTAAAATTATCACCGATATCACCAAACGGTGTTTATTCAATCACCACGCGGTGAGTGGTGGTGTTTTTCAGATCACAACGAAAGGCTCTGCGCAAGCTAGCTATCAAGGCTGCCCTCAACCGCTGATCGGATTCAGTCTAATCACCGTGTGTGGTGATGTCCGGTCGTCGGCATCAGCAACAGCAGCAGCAGCAGTGCTTTCGACGTGTGGCGTTCAACATTGTTTTCCAGTACACAACGAAAGGCTGTCTGCAAGCAGCGAGCTACAGCCCACATAAGCATCCATGGAAGGAGAAAGAAGCCGCACCGCTATTGATCGGAATCAGTAGCTCTTCGTGAGTCTCTGTGGAGCATCTATGCCAAGCGCGTCACCCTCATCCCAAACAACATACAACTCATCAGCCTCATATGTGTTTAACACCCTAATAGCTCAGCATTACTGAACCATCACGACAAAACGGTCCGGTATTTTTTTTTTTACATTTGTGAAGGTCATCAATCGGATGTCAGTTCCCATATCAAGATAGAGCTAGAATTAAGGCTTAACAGCTTTTGTAAATAATGACTTCTTTCGAAGATGTCTTGAAAATCAAGGCTTGCCCACGCAAATCAACATCACCATCAGGTAAAGTAAGACTTCCCCTACCCAACGGTAATGTTAGTTTGCGTGGGCGTGCCTTGAATTCCTAAAAATCATCGAGAGAAGTCTTTGTTTACAAAAGCTATTACGCCTAATTCCAGCTCTATCTAGATATTTTTAAATCTAACATACCATGTTCTTGAAGGCAACATTGGGGGTGCAATTTCAAAAACCAAAGTCGGTCGCGTTGCTGTTGCTGTTGCTATAATAATTAAAATTATCACCGATTGCCTGCGAAAAGCGATTTCCGTACCATCCGGTCTCACCAAACATGGTAAGTGGTGGTGTTCTCCAGTACATAACGAAAGGCTGCCTGCAAGCAAAGAGCTGCAGTCCACAAGAAGGAGGAAGAAGCCGTACCGCTATTGATCGGAATCAGTAGTTCTTCGTGAGTCGCTGTGGGCCATCTATGCAAGCTCGTCAAATTAAAGAGTATGAACAGAGATAACCCCGCTCAAATTCCTATTCATACACAAAACACAAGCTTCTGCTGCAGTTAACAAATAAGATTTATTATTTAAGACCACGTAGTCCTACGTCAGCATTGCGTACAACCCCATAAGGCTGTCCCTTATAGTTTTTACATCTTTAGGATGAATACTATGATCATGCTCATGCACAAAAAATAGTTTAATAAATTAACTACCGTATCAAAATGTTCTTGATGACCCCACAATTACTATGCGTTTGCCGTGGCGGCGGTTAGTCTGTCTTCATCGCTGATTTCATTCGATCGGACATTGATTGCGGCATGCTTCTAGAGCAGTTGAATGTCAATACCAGCCGAGTAATCTCCAGACGATCTTAATATTTTTCAACATCCCGGCTTCTCGGACAAACTATGGTGCTAATGAGTCGTTAACTAGTATGTGCAAACAGCTGTTTTGATTTTAACCTATCCCAGCTAGGGTTAGAAATATGTTTTGTAATGCACTTTTACCATCCTGACGGTTTCTGTTCTATGTAGTTATATTAAGTTTGAACTTTTTTTTATTAATATAGTTTTGTATATATTCAAAGTGTTTTTGTGTTACTTCATACGCGAAGTTAGCGATTTTCAGAGTTGGTTGGAAATGCTAACATGAAGCTTTAGTGTGATAATTTATTAGCTAGAGAATGATCTTTAGAAGAGGATAGGTGGATAGTTCCGTTAGAGTACGGCAGTATGAAAATTGAATAGAAGTTGAAAATGAGCGAAGGGCCATTAATGCGACAGTTTTTAAAGTTAGACGCACATCTTTTGCCTAACCCGTACGATGTACGCGGAGACTTGAAGTATGTCTCCAAGTTTACAGGCAAAAAATGTGCATCAGATCATTCTCTAGCTAATCAATTATCACACTAAAGCTTCATGTTAGCATTTCAAATCAACTCTAGTTTTGTATATTAAGAATTAAGTTAAAGCAAATGTGCCTGTATGATTCAATGTTATCTCATACATCAACATTTGAATTTGCTCTTAAATAATTCATATCCAGAATAAACAGTACGGATATAATTGAAAGAATAAAATAAACAAAGGCATCCCAATATTTTTCGTGTACAAAAATCGGTATTCGTGGCATCGTTGCTGACCTTTCTCGAACAACATGTTAAAAAGGTCTTCAATGGGCCAATGTAAAGAGCCTGAATTTATAAAGAGATGACATCTTATCCATTTGACAGGTCTTTTGCTCGATTGGAATGACTTTTTCTATGACTTCGACAGACAATCGATTGTTCCAATTTTGACATATCGCCTCTTTATAAATTTAGGCTCTTTAGGCCAATGAAAAAGCTGAGGTTTTGACAGGACTGTGCTATGGCTACCACAGTATTCTACATTTGATCATCCATGTACAGTAGCGCCAAAAGCATGCTGTGGTGGTTTCAAAACTTGACCATCTAAATTGACCAATTACAATTTACAGTGAAGACGTTAATGTCATTATTAAGCAATCGGTGACTAAAGTCATTGTTAACGATTGACTCATAAATCGTAAACAATGACTTTAGTCACCGATTGCTCACGAATCAAAACACATCCATCACATAAATTATGTGGAACTTCATATTACTGTTGCGTCTTTTCAGAAACATGGGAATTCAGGAAGTAGACCATATTGTTAATTTATAATATTTGATGACACGCTTGGTTATCAGGTGACAAGCAACAATCACACAGCAAAAAAAAATGTAATATCGATCAATGTAATTCAAGCTGATGTATGAAATAACGATGTAATAGCTAAAAGCAGATACAATATTACATCTTTGGATGTAATTTTGATCGCAAAATCGATGTACATCGTACAACCATAGAGGTAACTCAAAGACCACTGGGTCCCGAAGAAAATCATTATTATTTTTGGCTCACTCAGTACCAGAACAACGGTCCCAAGCAGTCCCAAGCTATTTCACTCACCCCTGCATGTTCTGCATGAATCCACACACCCCTGATGTTATCTGTCAAACTTTCATAGCGAATCAAAACAAACATAGTGTAGTAATAGAATTTCAACTAGACTAGGGTACGTTAATCGTTTGCTTGGGACCAATAGGCTACTAAAGTGGTGAGCCAATTTAAAATCGTTAGTTTCGTATTGATTGTTGGTACAACGTTATATTACACAACCGATGGATTGACCTGGTTGCAGCAGTTTGGATGTAATATTCAATAACTTTTTTTTTTTCTGTGTACGAAAATATCAAAATAATATCTTCATAAGTGCAAGAACTAAGGAGGGTTAGTCTTCAAAAGATTTTAAAGGGATGACACTGGTGATGGCTGCATACTTTAGTTAAAACACGTTTCTGTCATGGATACACATTTTAAGCGGGATAAAATCAACCGGTGGAAACTAACGACTTTAAATTGGCTCACTACTTGACTAGCCTATTGGTCCCAAGCAAATCGATTAACGTATCCCATTCTAGTCAAAATTCTAGTACTACACTATGTTTGTTTTGATTCGCTATGAAAGTTTGACAGATAAAATGAGGGGTTCGTGGATTTTCCTATGTTTCGAGGGGTGCATCGATTTGCTTGGGACCGAAAAAAGTAGTAGAGCTGAGCCAAAAAGCAGATCACGTTTCTTCGGGACCTTCTGCTCTTAAGGGCCACCCACATTAGATCCGTTTGCGTTGCGTTGACGTACATCTGACAGTTAGACAATAGATGTAGCTGTGACTTTGCCGCAACGCGTCCGATCCGGATCTAATGTGCGTGGGTCTTTAGAGTTACCTCTATGATAAAAAAGGTATCCAGTTCGACTCTGTTCTTACTGCATAATAGTTTTTATGACAAAAGACAAATTCATCTTCAAAACGTCAAACTGGTCAAACAAATTCTAAATTTGATCCTAAAAGGTGCAATAACATCTACAAAATGATTACAACTAAAACAACAGAACCCATTAGATTTGTTGTTGGTATGGATTTGAAAACAAACATCCCCGTTTTTAGAACGCTGTTCAGTTGTCAGACACTTTTGCATCGATCCCACGGCCGCAGTTTAGATTGCATCAGTTTGTTATGGCATGCACATTTCCCGCAAACCGTTACAGTTTGTTTTGATGCACAAATTCGTAACAGAGCTCGCGATATTTACCCTCGCATGTTATTCCCAAGCTGACCACTCATCATCATCCTAAGGCACTTTTCGGATTTCCCGCCGCTTTCGTGAATTCGCCTGTGAAATTTCACGCTCGTTAATGAATGGGACTATTTTTGGCCCAATGGAAACACCTGATGCAGCTTTCATTGCGCGCATTTATTAATTTTCATATTCTCTTCACTTTGGGGCAATTCAAATATGACATCCACAAGATTTTCGATTTGTTTAACGGATTCTACCATACTTATTACACGTACTGTCACAAATTCTAGGACCACATGCCCTCAAGAGTGGACGTCATATGTGAACCACTCCTTTTCACATACATCACTTCCGCTCGTATACGTCAATATCATTTAAATATCAAAAATCGTAATCTCAAGATGCTTTTTCCATCTTTCGTCAAGGTAAAAAAATATTTCAATAAAGACTGGTGGATGGGTATGTGTGTGTATGTGTGGGTGATGCTAGCCGAACAGTTTTCGTCGAACGAAACTCGCCGTGCAGGTTTCCTTCATCGAAATCGTTGCCTCGTGCTCGCCAATGAAGATGTTGTATTTGGCACGGGTGGTGGCATCTTCCGGTCCCCAGTCGCTCATCGGACTGAGGATGGCTTTCAGCCTGGCGATGGGATCGCTGCTGGGATCTTTGTACCACGCGTAAAATCCCCACGCGGGAAGCTGCAGCACGGCCACGATGTACAGGCACCAACCGAAAGCTAAAAAGTATATTTTTGAAATTCGTAAGATGATTTGGCAGATTGAAAAATTCAGAAGGTGCTTACCATTGTATCCGGTAGGAAGTTCCTTCGGAACGTAATGAATAATACTGAATAATAGGATGACCAACACCACGATCGGTGTAACGATTCCCCAGCATATCCGCCAAAACATGCCAGTTTTTATGCCGAGCATGAATTCAATGTCCTTGCAAACTCGGTCCACTCCGTAGATCCAAGCGAACGTCAAAAGTTCAAAAACAGCCAGCGTTAGCGTGACAAATGTCGCTCCGTAGTAATCCATAAGATCCAGGATGTACAGGCCACCGGGTGTGAGGTACACAAGACCAATGCAGAATCCAAAAAATGCCACCACCAGCACCACCTTCCAGCGCTTCCAGTGTGGGTTCTGGTCGTGAATGGCTGTTATGACGGAGGTGACAATTCCCAGCAGAGTTCCGATGCCCAGAAGGAACAGCATGAAGAAGAACAGCACGGAGAACAGTTGCGGTACAAAGTCAAACTTGGCGATGGCATCCGGGTAGGTTTCGAACGTTAGGCCAGGACCACTCTTAACAACATTCTGGATGTCCTTCTCGTTTGTGACGTGTGCCAGGTGACCGATCACTCCGAATACGATGCAACCGGCAACCATGGAGGTGAATGTGTCCAGCCAGGTGATGATGACGGCGTGGCTGGAAGAATCAATTGATTAAAATGATTGCAATTTTGGAATTTGGCGGATTTGTGGTTTATTCCCCCTTTTTTTTTCTTGATTTGTATTCCGTCGATCTTGTTTTCCGTGCTGAGCACCAATGCTACCGACGCCAAGGAGGCAGCTCTCAATCCTGGACCCTACCTATCGACCCATCAACTCATTAACCGGGGACCAACGGCTTTGCTGGCGTGGCTGGAAGGCGTGATCAAAGATGTTATGCCTCAGAACATCCCGGCGGCGCCGACTGGGATTGAACCCAGGCCTGCTGGGGTGAGAAGTAATCACGCTTACCAGCGCCAGCGCCGCTGGGTTTATTCCTATTAAAAGTGAATAGGGGAAATGGATGTAATGTCGGAATAAATTTCCCTAATTTGGACCCATAAATAAATTCAGCAATCGACTAAATTTTCAATAGCTACCAAAAATATCCATAAGTACCGTCCAAATGACACGTTCATCTGGATAAAATTGATACATAGCAGATTTTTTTGCGATGGGCCCAATCTTAGATCCATAGGCCAACATTAGAGCCATTTCCCCTATACAACAATATTTCGACAGTGAGCGTTCATAAAGGTCCGTTTAGACTATCTGATTTCTTGGTCTGTTTTTGACCGCCGTCATAATGAAAAATCTGCTCGAATTTACTTTCGACACACTTTTTTGAACCCCCCTGTTAGCTGGTGTTCACACTGCTTGCACATGTCGATAGAACTGTCAATTTAGATTTAAAAACAAAGGTGTATCAGGAATCAAAAGTAAATACTTCCATCATGAATTACCGGAAAATTGCTCTAGCTTCGGCAGGCCTATTTGCTTTTATTATTTTAAATAAAATGAACAGCAGAAGGTGAACTTTGCTCTGGAGGAACACCGGCAGGGATCTGGTTCATCTTGTCCTTCAAGAGCTGCGATATGAAGGGAAGCCAGGTTGTCGATACCAACTTTCGACAAGCTAGTGGGAAAAGTTCTTTGTAGATCTACATGATTCCTTGAGTTCTGAAAATTTATGTTAGAACTCAATTGTGCATAATTCTTTGAAGACCTTCGGACGTCCCTGAAGTTTTGTTTCCGTTCTCTGGTAAAATTTCTTTAAGAACAACAAACTTTCATTCGGTAGTTCTATGTGTTTTTCAGAAGTTTTGCAAATTTTCCTAAAAATCTACAAAGTTCCTGAATCCCTGCAGATTTAAGATCCTTATAGATCAACAATTATCTCTGAAGTTCACAAAATTTCTAAAAATCTACGAACTTCTCGAAAGTTCTGTTATTTCCTCTGTAGATTTTCATGATTCAATGAATATCTGCAAATATCTCTGAACATCTGCACAATTTCCTAAAAAATTAAAAGATCATCTAGAATTTTTTGAGCTTTCCGGATGTTTTAGACAAGGTTGCAAAGACTCATTTCAGCTAAAACAATGTTTTTCTAAATTATGAAATAATTAGATGCCATGATCAAATTTTGAATTGGTAGGATACAAGAAGAGGTTGCAAAGAATGTGTTTGACATATTAAACCTGTTTATTTCACTTCATGAGAGTCACAGTCAGCGATTTTTCACAAACTCACTCACTCACTCACTCACTCACTCAGCGATCAGCAAATCGCTGATTGTGACTCATAGAAAGCAAAATTTACAGGTTTTATGTTTCCAACGCATACTTTGTAACCTCTTCTTGTAAGTTACAAGTAAAACATGCCATCATACCATCTTTTGGTTTTATTATTCCGAAAAACATTATTTTAGCTGAAATAAGTCTTTGAAACCTAGGTTTTCGAGAGTTTTATATAGTTTTATTAATTTTTCTGAAGTTATGAAAATATCTCTAAAGATCAGCGAACTAACATGAACTTCTGTAAATTTCTCTTAAAATCAAAGAACCACAATAAAATTCTGAAAATTTATTTAAACATCTGCAGATTTTCGGGATTCAGGAGATTTACGGTCTACCCTCTGAACTTTTATAAAGTTCCTAAATTTTTTTTACAAATTCTGTAAAGTTTTCTGAAGTACTGTATTTCTACTCTAAAGATCTACGAGCTGCCCATAAGTTCAATAAATTTCTCAGTAGATCTCCGACCTTCTCTAAAGTTCTGTAAATTTCTTTGTGGATTCTTGAATTTCCATAAAGTTCTGCAGATTTATCAAAAATTATTTGAAATTCCCCAAAGCTCTACAAATTATTTAAAAATATTTGAACTTCGCTGAAGTTTTATAAATTTATCTGAAGATTTACGAATTTCTCTAAAGTTGTGTAAATACTTCTAAAGATCGGTGAGCTTTCCCGAAGTTCTGTGAGTTTTGCTGAAGTTTTGCAAATTTTTCTAAAAACATTCGAACTTTCTGACGTTCTACAGTCTTCTCTTAAGGTCTACAAAGTCAGATCTATCTATTTCCAACTTCCATGAAGTTCTGCAAAAGCTTGTACTTTTGTACTTGGCTGCGAATTTGTTTTTGGAATTGAGGTACTTTTCTGACATTTAACTAATTCTTCTGAAGATCTCACATTTTGCTGAAAAATTCCTGCAAATATCTTTAAAGTTCTGTAAAGTTGTCTGAAGCTGAAAAAAATCTTGAGGCTCAATAAATTTCTCAGCAGATCTGCAAACTTCTCTGAAGTTTTGTAAATTCCTCAGTAGGCTCTCAGGCTACCCTGAAGATCTGAAAATTCTCTGATGATCATTACCTAAAGCTCTCAAAATTTATCTGAAAATATTTGAGCTTTCTTGAAGTTTTAAATGTCTCTCTCAAGATCTACAAATTTCCCTGAAATCGTATAAATATTTTTTTTTTAAATCGCCGAGCTACCCTGAATATTCATTAAAATTTCTGAGATTCTAAAAATGTACCAGAAAATCTGCACACTTTCTTGAAGGTCTTTAAATTTATCTGAAGATCTATAACCATTCTTGTGGTTTTTTTTTCAGAAGCTCTTTTTTTTTCAAAGTTCTGTAGCTTTGTTCTGAAGATTTTACGAGCTTTTCTGATGTTGAATAATTTTCAGCAGATCTCCAAACTTCTGTGTAATTCATTATAACGGGTGTTCGATAAAAAATGAGAATGATTTCAGTGCCGTCCAGCGCTCTTGTGAGAGCATCGCAACTAAGTTGCGTCGCACGGCTGACAGGGCTCCTTCTCCAATATTCATTGACGTTGTTTTGAAGAATAAACATTATATTTTTAATAAAAAATACTGAATTCGTTGAATTTTTTTTTCACTAGCTAGGGGCAAAGTTGGCTTCGGCAATACCTTAACCTTTTATCGTCAGGGGTGTAGTAGATAGAATTAGTGTTGAATAAATAATGAGTAGAATCAAGTAGATAGAATTACCATGACCTGATGGATGGTAGATAGAATTACTATGACCTGATGGATGGTAGATAGAATTACCATGACCTGATGGATGGTAGATAGAATTACCATGACCTGATGGATGGTAGAAAGAATTACCATGACCTGATGGATGGTAGATAGAATTACCATGACCTGATGGATGGTAGAAAGAATTACCATGACCTGATGGATGGTAGAAAGAATTACCATGAACTGATGGATGGTAGATAGAATTACCATGACCTGATGGATGGTAGAAAGAATTACCATGACCTGATGGATGGTAGATAGAATTACCATGACCTGATGGATGGTAGAAAGAATTACCATGACCTGATGGATGGTAGAAAGAATTACCATGAACTGATGGATGGTAGATAGAATTACCATGACCTGATGGATGGTAGAAAGAATTACCATGACCTGATGGATGGTAGATAGAATTACCATGACCTGATGGATGGTAGATAGAATTACCATGACCTGATGGATGGTAGAAAGAATTACCATGACCTGATGGATGGTAGATAGAATTACCATGACCTGATGGATGGTAGAAAGAATTACCATGACCTGATGGATGGTAGATAGAATTACCATGACCTGATGGATGGTAGATAGAATTACTATGGTAATTCTGGAACGGATGGTAGATAAGAATTTCCATTACCTGATTGATGGACTGAAGAAATTTAGAAATAGTTAGAATTGCCATGACTTGATGGATGGACTGAGGAAATTTTTAAATAGTTGGAATGGATCATTGAAGATGCTGAGGTTTTGACAGCACCGTACTGTGGCTACCACAGTATTTTACATTGGTTCGTCCGTATACAGTAGCGCCAAGTGAAAGCTGTGGTGGGTTCAAAACTCAGCCATCTAAAATGATCCATTGCCATGACCTCATGGATGAAATATCTCTGAGATGGTAGATGAAAGTCCTCCGAGAGAGTAGATAAAATTCCCCAAAATGGGTGGATATAATGCCCCCTTCCTCAATTAAGGAGAGTAGAAGAGGGGAAGAATGTAGTAGATAGAGTTAGTGTTGAATAAATAATGAGTAGAATCAAGTGAGCGTGAAGCGTGATAGCTCGTATGTAAACAGAATCTCATTGGTTAGACAATTTTGACAGGTTAGCAGGTATAAATATGAAGTACCTAAGCTCGTTGAAGTCACCCAACTGGAACGCTCGCTCCGTAGGGGCGAAAAACATTGAGCTTGCAGACTTCCTCCGCAAGCACGACATCGACGTGGGCCTTCTCACCGAGACCCACCTCAAGACCGGTGACAGCTTCTGGCTGCCCGACCACAGCATTGTCCGGCTTGATCGCACCAGCTCCAGGGGGGGCGGTGTCGCGGTCATCATCAAGAAAGGCATCAAGTACTGCACCCTACCCCACTACCGCACTTCCATCATCGAGGCCGTCGGCGTTGAGGTGGAAACATCGACCGGAAACGTCCGGTTCATCGTTGTCTACTGCCCCCGGCAATGTACCGTTAGCAATGGTACAGCACAGCAGTTCAAGAACGACCTTGCCATCATAACCCGCACCAATGCCCGCTTCGTAATCGGAGGGGACCTGAACGCCCGGCACGAGGCCTGGCGGAACTACCAGCAGAACCAAAACGGCCGCCTGC